GTGGGAGAGGGAGCTGGGATTGACATGTGAAGCATTCATGTTTCTAATTTAAATAAAGACATATATGAGGAAAAAATATAAAATAAAATAGAAAAGTGATTATTTCAAAAAAAAAAAAAAAAAGAAGACCCAAGTTCAGTTCCCAACACCCACATTGTGGCTCATGTAGTAATTCCAGTTCCTCCCTTGTCCCTCCACCAGCCCTCCCAATCCCCCACCCAATCCCCACATCATTCCCCAGGGAGGGTGAGGCCCTCTTTGGGGGGGATCTCCAAAGTCTGTCATTTCATCCAGGGAAGGACCTAGGCCCTTCCCCATGTGTCCAGGCTGAGAGAGCATCCCTCTATCTGGAATGGGCTCCCAAAGATCATTCATACACCATGGTAAACACTGATCTACTACCCAAGGCCCCAGTGATTTCTGTGGCCTCCTCACTGGCACTACATTCATGGAGTCTGGATCAGTCCCCTGTTGGCCTCTCAGGCATCAGTCTCGGATTCAAGAGCTCCCCCTTATCTGCTCAGCTGTCTTTGTGGTTTTCACCATCATGGTCTTGACCCCTTTGCTCATCACTCCTCCATCTCTGTCATTAAGTTCCAGGAATTCAGTTCAGTGTTTAGCTGTGGGTATCCAACTTTGGTCTTCTTAACCACTGAGCCACCACTCCAGCCCCCTATTTAAAATTTCAAGTTATTTTACAATTAATATACTCAGTAGGTATTGCTCTTTTGTGGGTAGGGCAGTGTTACATCCAGCATGATTGGGATGACTTGGGGTGGCAAGGGAATGAAGAAAGGACAGACTCACAGACACACATTGAAAAGCTAGGATTGGGTGTGATATGCTATTTTGATGGAGTGCAGGATCTCAAGGGGTTTATTACGTACAGCCTTAATTAGCCAGTTTGGTAGGCCGTCTCTGTAGGCCATCAGTCTCAGGCTATAAACATTCAGGAGAGGGAAGCTGTAGTTGCTAGTTTTTCCACACACTGCCAACCTTTGAACTCAGAATAGAGGAAGGCTTTGCATCCGAGTCTCACCCAAAAGGGGAAGGTTTTGCCACTCCTACGGGTCTGAGGCACTGAGCCTTGACATAGCTGTGCTCATGCCAACATACACATTAACTCAGGACTTTATTCACTCCTTATACATTCACTCATTTATTCCTTAGCTCCCCACAATGTAGCCATCCATATACCTGCATTTGGGCCAGAAATAGCTTTCACAAGCATGTGTTTATTAGGGATGAAGCAGTTTTACATGATTATATATATATTTTAAGACACTGTGTAGCCCTGATAACTCTCATTGTAGGACCAGGTCGGCCCTGAGCCCACAGAAATCTTCCTGCTTCTGCCTCCCGAATGCTGGACTTAAAGGTGAAGGTGGACTTCCCCACTCCTCTCTCCTACCTTCAAGGGAACAATAAAGACTGGTTACAGATTGCTTCTTTAAAGTTTTTTTCATTTCATTTTAATCATTTTAATTTAATTTGTATGTGTATGTGTTGGGCTCATGCCACAGTACATGTATGGAGGTCAGAGATCAACCTGTGGGATTCAGTCTCTCTTTCTATCACGTGGAACTCAGGTAGTCAGGGTTGGTGGCAGACACCTTTACCTGATAAGCCATCTCACTGGCTCCATGCTTCCTTTTTTTTTCTTAAAAAGTTTTTTTAAAAAGATTTTTCTTATTTTATTTTGTAGAGGGTACGAAGCCCTTGTGCACACAGATTAAGTGCTTAGGGAAACCAGGACAAGTTAAATGCAGATGCTATCTCTTCAAAGGTAGGAGATGTTCATCTGTTTTTCACCCAGAATGCTGGGAAGGGATGTAGTTTACAACCTGGTGATCTTTTGCTATTTGTAGGGGCAGGCTTTACCTGAATCCCCCAGGATACTATGTTTGTTTACCCCTCCCAAATCTTGGGCATTGCTTCTCATTCCATAAAACCCATCATTATGAGAGATGTCACTTGTCTTTTACAGCAGCCTAAGTAACTTACTTATGTTATCTTAGGGCCAGGTCAATCCTGACTCCCACAAGCATTCTGTTTACCTCATTCTCCTGGAGACCCTTATCTCAAACATTGTTTCTGAGTCAACAGCACTAATCTTTATGGAAGAAACCATGTGCACTTTGTAAAGACTTTTAATGTAAACATGTCTTAAGCGTCGTTGTGCACATGGGACTGAGTTAATTGTCATCAGAAAACTTCTTCCCAAAATTGTGCTGTGCTTAAGTATGGTTAAAATAAACCACTTGGTGTCAGACCCCAGAAGTCTGTCACAGCACCGGTTAACTAAGTTGTGCTGAACCAAATTTCATTCTTTCCTCACCCGGTCTGTTTCCCTGCCAGCCATGATGCTTTTAGGGACCTGAACCTTATTAATGTGTATGAGTGTTTTGCTCAAATGTTTGTCTGTGCACCATGTGCATTCTTGATGACAGAGGAGCTCAGAATCCTAGAATTGGAGTTATGGACAGTTATGACAGCTAGGAGTTGAACCTGACTTCACTAGCACTGTGTATTATTTAGGGTTCTTTAGGGGAGCATAATGAATGCATGCATGCATCCATTCACCCTATCTATCTATCTATCTATCTATCTATCTATCTATCTATCTAATGAATCATCCATCCATCCATCCAATGGGGATTAATTAAAATGGCTTATAGGCTGTCTAACAATGGAAGGTCCAAAAACCCAGTCACTATTCAGCCCATGAGGCTGTATGTCCCAGCTCAGTACATGTCAGAATCCTGATGAAAAAGGCTCTAATACCACTGAAAGAAATGGACTTACTATTGAAAGTAAGCAGGCAAAGAAAGCAAACTTCCTTCTTTCATATCCTTTATATAGTCTGGACCCACTTCAAAGGATTTAATTAAGAAAAAAATCCCTCACAGGTGTATCCAGTTGCTTCCATTTTAGTTAATTCTAGACATAGTCAACCTGACATCTAAGAACAGCCATCACACACTGAGTACTTAGGTATCTAGTAAGGCATGGTTTCCCTCTTGTTGAATGGTTCTTAAGTCTAATTAAAGAACTGTGGGTTACCACCAAGGTATGCATGTCACTATTGCAACCTTAGGATTGCCATGCCATATTCCAACCAACAACTCCTTAGTTTGACATGTATATACTCAAACTAGAGAGCACTTTACATTAGAGTTGACGTGAACCAATATGATTGATTAACAGGTTTTAATAGCTGTCAGCTGTGCCATTTTCCTGGTGGGTGGGGTTAGGGTCATAGCAACAAGATAAAGTACTGGAGCATATAAGGAACAAAGCACAATGACTAAGGACCAGGCAGGTAATACATTTTTTTTGTATGCTCAGCCAGCCATGCTTCAGACACTAGGTGTCAGTAGAACACCTTACCTTTCTCTGATCAATACTGTCCAATCGGAGAAAATTTTCTCTCTGTCTTCAAAATTAAATGCATTTTTTTGAGAATTTCATAGACTGAATACTGGGAGGCAGAGGCAGGTAGATCTCTGTGAGTTCCAGGCCAGCCTAGTTTACACAGGGAGTTCTAAGCCAAGCAGAGCTACACAATGTGACCCTGTCTCAAAAAAAAAAAAAAAAAAGATGCTCTAATATCATGATATTATGTGTAAAAAGAGAGGCATGGTAGTCAACACATTGATTTTCCTTTATTTCTTTTGTGTGTCCTTATGTATAAAATTATAATAAAATATAGTGTATCAGTTTGGATGTTAATGCTACATTCTCCTTAATTCTGAGCCTATAAAAACTAAACTCAGCATGAAGTCAAAGGATGACCTTGAATTCCTGGACTTCCTGCCTCTACCTCCCAACGCTGGAAGAACAAGGAGACACCACCACATCTGCTTTTTTTCTTTTCTTTTTTTTTTTAAAGGCTCCTCCTCACACTGTGGTCCAAACTTGAATTTTCTGTTTTCTTGATTTAGCCCCATGAGTAGTGTGCCAAAGGGCTGGCAAAACTTCTCACTTATTTCATGCCCAGAAGAAGAGAGGGTTCCACAGCCATCCACAGGGTCCAGCCTCGCACTCTGTTTAAAGGTTTCGTTTGCTTTGTGTTTGAGACAGTCTCACACTGTAGCTCATGATGGCCTTGAACCCGAGGCAATCCTCCTGCCTCAGTCTCCCCAGTGCTGGGATTGGAGGAATGAGCCGCCATGCCTAGCACACTTAAATTTCGACAAACGCACACAAGGGTTGCATTTTCTCTGCATCCTTGCCTTCCCAACATTTGCGCATGCTTCCCTCCCTCCCCTCCCTCTTCTGCCTTTCTAGATTTCTCCCCGGTTTTACTGTGTTAGCACTTAACCACGTCCCAACCGATTTCGTACTTGAGATGTCTCAGCTTTGTTCTGCTTGCTGGGTACTGGAATTATAGGCAGGGCGACCACAGAGTTTATCGTCTACTTTTCTGATAGTTGTCATCCTAAAGGGTGTGAGGTACCTTGTTGTGGTTTGATTTCCTTTTTCCTAATTAGTAGGGATGTTGGTCATCACTTCATATGCTTGTTGGGGATTTCGCTGTATTCTGAGACAAGGTCTCCTAGTGCAGGCTGCCTTGAACTGACTATGTAGGCAAGGATGACCTGACCAAGTACTGGGACTGCAGAACTGCTTTAGTGAGACCAGTTTATGTGGTACTGGGTATCAGACCAAGTGTGCATTCTAGGCAAGCATTTCACCAACGGAGCTTTATCCCCAGGCCTAGTAAGGTCTCTTAAAAGGTACCTGGACTCATGATGCCTGGTGGAGAGACCAGAAGGCCCAAGTGATTCTCCACGATTCACCTCTGGGCTTGTTTCCAACACTAGCTGGAGTAAGTTACAAAGAGGCTCATCTGCAGTGAGTTGCAGACTAGACTGGTAGTCCTGCCAGCTTCTTCTGGATGTTCCCACAGGCACCTCCTCTCTAGCAGAGGCCCCGCCCCTGAGCGCGTGAACACACCCTTTACTTGCGTGGCCCTGCCCCTCCCGGCTGCACGCAGTAGCGTTTCTTGTCACGTGGCGCCGTGGCCGGATTTGAAGCGTTCGGTCATCCGCGGATGACTGCCCAAGGCTGCGGTAAGGTGTTGCCTGGCCGGGGATGCAGAGTCCTGACTCAGCTCCGCGTGGGTCTTTCCGGTCACGTGCTGTACGGAGCCGCGGCTAGACACGTTATTGCTAGGCAACGCTTGCACGCTCTGACCTGCGCTGGATCCCTGGCAGTGGAGGATCTGAGCGCCGCTGGCCGACATGGACCAGTACTGCATCCTCGGTCGCATCGGGGAGGGCGCCCACGGCATCGTCTTCAAAGCCAAGCACGTAGAGGTGAGGCCACGCCGCACGCGCTGTCCGAGGATTACCCGCTGCGTCCACTCTGCTTCAGGCCGCGAGGTGCGGCCTTTCGGTGCTGAGACCTGCCCTCGCGCGGGCCTCCGGGGGGGTCTCTGGATGTTTGACTGGGTCCCTTCTAGGGCGATCCCGCTTCCAGCGGCGGAACTGCGGGAGCGCGTCCCCTAGCGGACGGTTATTCCCGATCTAGGGGCGGATGTCTTGGGTGTTTTGTTCCTGGTGAGTTCTCTCCCTGCCCTTCCTGGCCTTCCGAAGGTCTTCTGCACTCTTTCCTGCACAGACTGGAGAGATCGTTGCCCTCAAGAAGGTGGCCCTGCGGCGGCTGGAGGATGGCATTCCTAACCAGGCCCTAAGGGAAATCAAGGCTCTGCAGGAGATCGAGGACAGTCAGTATGTGAGTGGGGCTGGGTTCCGGGCGCCGGACAAGACAGTGGGCGGCAGGTTCCAGCGCAGTAGCTTCTCTCCCGCTTTTGCTCATTTTCATCCCCACCTACCCACCCACATATACTTTAAAGGATTCACTTCTAGTTCCCACTCTGCTCCTGCCTGCGTACCCCTTATTTATGCGCCCAGGTCCACTATCCCACTCATTGCTCATTCGCCCATTCATTTTTCCTTTTAAATATTTTGTGATTTTTTTCTCTTTCCTTTCCTTCTTGTACCCCCTCTCCCACCTTCCTGCTTTCCTTCCTGCCCTGTGCTAGACAGGTGCTGTGCCACTAAATTACGTCCGCAACCATACTGATTGCTCAGTGACTTGTACCTGTTGAGCCCTACTTTGTTCTGAGGGTGTGCAAAGGCTTTGGATGTGGTCACACCCTGAGTTCTCCCTGCTTTTCTTTTTCTTTTCTTTTCTTTTCTTTTCTTTTCTTTCTTTCTTTCTTTCTTTCTTTTTTTTTTTTTTTTTTTTTGGTTTTTCGAGACAGGGTTTCTCTGTATTGTTTTGGAGGCTGTCCTGGAACTCACTTTGTAGACCAGGCTGGCCTCGAACTCACAGAGATCCACCTGCCTCTGCCTCCCGAGTGCTGTCTCCCTGCTTTTCAAAGCGGGTTCCGGGAATTTGTTGAGCAAGGGCAACGTTACATTTTCATCATCAGTTGGTGGGTCTTCAGATATCCAGTGAAGACTTTGGGTTGAGTGTCACTGACAGCCTTCCCCTGGGGCCTCCTAAGTCCTGGCCTGTGCATAGCACCAGTGACACCCAGGAGGTCCCAGTCTGTTTCCTGAGAACATACGTGTAATGGAATCAGTAGGAGGTGACAAGGCCACACACCTGGTGTATGTCTGTGTGCTGGTGTAGTGTGAAGTCTGGTGGTGTTATGTTTCAGGACCGACAGTAGATAAGTTTTCATTTCTTATTCCTTTATAATTTGTGTGCTGTCTGAATGTAGGTGTATGTTTCAATTTGTCCAATGATTATTTACTGTCTTTTTTGTTGAAAATAAAAGGGCTTTCCAGACAGCCTATGTGTGGGACAGGACAGGGGTGCAAGATCCATAAGGATGTTGGTGATTGCCAGACACCTAAAGTTGCCATTTTAATTAACCAGTTAATTAATTAATATTTGATTTTATGTATATGAACATTTTGCCTGCTTGTATGTGTGTTTACAGTGTGTGTGCCTGGTGCCCATGGAAGCCAGAAGAGGGCCTTAGATTCCCTGGAACTGCAGTTATGGATGGTTGAGAGCCACTATGTGGGTGCTGGGAACCAAACCTGGGTCTTCTACAACAACAAGTACTCTTAACCACTGAACTTTCTGTCCAGATCAAATGTTTCTTCTTAAAAAATATACTCAGGGGATGGGGAAATGGCTCACTGGGCGGTGTTAAGCAGGTGAACGCCAGATGGGTGTGGTACCCCACCTGTGAGTCCATGTTTATAAGGTACTGGACAGGGGATCCCTGGAACAAGCTGGCCAGTCAGACCAGCGTATTGGTGAAGCTCTGAATTCAGTAGAGACATTGCTTCAACAGATAATGTGGTGGAGGGCAATTAAAGAAGACGCCTGACTTCAACCATGGTTCTCCACATGCTCATGCACACACGTATGTACACACATACCTCCAAGCACAAAGACATGCATATATATGTGTGTGTGTGTATGTATAAATATATATAAATAGTATATTTGTCCTCAGCTGTTTTCATCTTCTTCACTAACTACTACTTCTTAGGTGTTCCTGCAGGGACTACCATCCAAATAGGTTCCAGGAACCCGTCAGGACAGAACAGAAATGTTCATCAGCTAGGTGTTGATTACACCTGTAATCCCAACATTTAGGAAGTAGAGGCAGGAGGATCCTGGTCATCTTGTGCTACATACTGAGTTCAAGTCCTTTCCTCCCCTCTGTTCCAAAAAGACACATATTTTCTTGTCCCTCCAGCCACCTCTGCTAGCCTTAGGGCCTTGTTCTTTCTGCTCTCCCAGCTCAGGCCTGATTCCTTAACTTCTGCGTAACTGGCACCTCCTCAGGCTTACCCTTTCTAAATAAAGTATACATACCTCTTTGGAATCACATTGCCCTCTATTCCTGTACCTTCCAGAACCTAACATATATTCCCCTTATTATTTGTTGGCCATTTATCCCCTGTTCTGTAAGCTGCTCGGAATCCTTGCATCCTAGCTCACAGCTCTGTGCAGCCTGGGCCTTGAGACTTTGGTAGCTACTGTGTGTGATGTACCTTCGTTGTCCCAGTACCAGGGAAGGTGCGATTCCTGGCTCTGTCCCCAGGGTGCTGGGATTTAATGTTCCTAGAGGAAATGGGTGACAGTTGGTGCTTGAGGGTGTCTCTCCAGGTGATCTGCAGGTGAGTGGGCCACGTTGAGCGGCGGATTGCTGCTGCCCACTTAGTGACCTTCTGGCCCTTTTCCCGATTATTAGTGGAGAGTTAGAGTGGGGACCACTCTGTCTCTGGACAGCAGAGCACCGTGAGGTCTGACCTGGCCGTCTTTGCCTGCCTGGCCCTCTGTCAGGGCCTGGGCTAATGGTGCTGCTGGTGGTGGGGCAGGAACAGAGCCGGTCTGGAGGTGAATGTAGAGCAGTGGTTCTTAGCCTTCCTCACGATGCGATCCTTTAATACAGTTCCTCATGTTGCGGTGACCCCCATCCATAAAATTATTTTCGTTGCTACTTCGTAACTGTAATTTTACTACCGTAACGAATCTTGATGTCATTATTTTTGGAGGTAGACGTTTGCCAAACCCCTGGTCTAGAGGCTGGTTGGGTTTCTTCCCTCAGGTGGTACAGCTGAAGGCTGTGTTCCCACATGGTGCAGGATTTGTGCTGGCCTTCGAGTTCATGCTGTCAGACCTGGCAGAGGTGGTGCGCCACGCCCAGAGGCCACTGGCCCCAGCGCAGGTCAAGAGCTACCTGCAGATGCTGCTCAAAGGTGTTGCCTTTTGCCACGCCAACAACATTGTGCACCGGGTCAGTACCAGTATGGGCTGGGGTGAGCTAGTCCTTGAAGAGGGTGCAGTCAGAGGGTCTTAAGGTAGGCAGCCAGGGCTGTGGCTCTAAGGCACATGGAGCCCCAGCTGCCTATCTCCCTGTCCTGAAGTCCTGTCTAGGTACAGGGAAACTGATGCCTCCTTTTGTATGCACAGGACCTGAAACCTGCCAACCTGCTCATCAGTGCCTCGGGCCAGCTCAAGATAGCTGACTTTGGCCTGGCCCGGGTCTTCTCTCCAGACAGTGGTCGCCTCTACACACATCAGGTGGCCACCAGGTATCCCTGTCTCACTGGGGGAGAGACACCTCTGCGCCTTTTGTCCAGGCCTGGGCTGTGAGGCTGGGATGAACTCAGCGCTTCTCATTAGAGCAACAATCCAGCTGTGGTCTCAAACCCTTCTCTCCCAGGTGGTACCGAGCTCCTGAGCTCCTGTACGGTGCTCGGCAGTATGACCAGGGCGTCGACCTCTGGTGAGACTCTTGGGGTAGATGAGGTAATGTGTGCCTGCCATGGGGATGTCCCCTCTGGTTAGAATAGTCTGAGCAACTTGGGATCTGCGCCCTTCACCCTCATGTTTTGGAGTTTGTTGCGGGAGGGTTAGGAGAGTGGTAGTCTCAGGCTTCTGGGAATGGGGGGCGGGAAGGTGGTCTGGGGTGCAAGGCATGTAGTATGTTCAGGTATCTGACTTGAGGATGAGACAACAGTGAGCTAGAGTGAGGCTTGTGTCCCTAGGTATGAAGGCTCCACATTTTGGGGGACTCGGTAGATAGTTTGTGGTATTCAGAGGTCTGAGACTTGGGTAACTTTGCATTTCTGCCCCCCCACCCCAAAATGGAGGAGGAGCTGGGTGTCCCAGACATGAGAGTCTGAGTGTCTTGAAGCTGGCAGGGGCTGCCCCGTTGAAGAGCTGATGTCTGTGGAGGGATAATAGCTGACTGTATTAGAAACCTCTGTACCTCTCTTGCCCGTGGCGTGAGGTGTTAGAGCTGTTGCGTTGGGTAGCTTGATCACTCATGTGTGAGATCTCCAGTTGCTTAGGTCTGTATCCATAGGGCTGTGGGCTGCATTATGGGAGAGCTGTTGAATGGGTCCCCCCTGTTCCCGGGAGAAAATGACATCGAGCAACTTTGCTGTGTGCTTCGAATCCTGGGCACCCCCAGTCCTCAAATCTGGCCGGTTAGTAGCAGCCATTGCTGGGGAGGGGGCAGGTGTGCTCCATTCCCCAGAAGGAAGTGGCTTCTCCCCTATGCAGTCGTCCTGGGGCCCCAGCCTCCCTTGACCAATGAAGACCGTTTTTCTTGGCCCCCAAGGGAGGGCCGGGTCTTGTCTGGGTAGCATCTCCGCAGGCTGGGCGAGGAGCAGGGCTCAGATAGGGTGGGCAAGCTAAAGGAGAGCATGTGTGGGTGATGATGAACCTCGGTCTGAGTGAGAAAGGGAAAGAAATCCTGCATCAGGAGTGTTGAGGCAGGGCCCACTTTCATCTCCTTTTTTCCTCTTCTGGGCTCAGGAGATCACAGAGCTGCCTGACTACAACAAGATCTCCTTCAAGGAGCAGGCACCGGTGCCCCTGGAGGAGGTGCTGCCCGATGCCTCTCCCCAGGCCTTGGACCTGCTAGGCCAGTTCCTCCTCTACCCCCCACACCAGCGTATTGCATCGTCCCAGGTAAGGTTCAGGGTTGTGGTCACTGTTCTGATACTTTGCCCTCAGTAGCCATGGGACCCTGCCCATGAGAGTCAGTGACTCTCAGCCTCTGTGATGGGCTAGAACCCCAGGAGATGGGGCTTTTCAGTGGGGGTGTTCTTCAGGAGGCCTCAGAAGAGTATTCCGTGACCTTTGCCCTCTGTCCTGGGAGACGTGAACAAGGGTCTGTTCACTCCAGATAGACACTGATAACAAATCTGACCTGAGTCTAGTTACAGTCTCAGGTGTTTCCGGGGACTTGTGAGTTTCCTTTACTTCCTGAGTCTTTAAGGAGCCTCCTGCCCAGAGCGAATGTTTCATTTGTGGGGACATAGCATGACAAGCTATCACCATTGCTGGAGACATACTGTGCATTTTGCTCGTTTCTCTGGTTTATGTCCCCAACCCCTTTCTCTGTTGGCAAGACTTTTAAGCTCACTCACTGCCATGTTCCTAGCTGCTGGGACAGTGCTGGACAGGCACACAGGCAAGTTTGCGGAATGATTCTGGGGACTGGTAGTGACTGGATCTCCTCTTCTGCCCCTTACTTGCTGCCCTCAGGCCCTTCTGCACCAGTACTTCTTCACAGCTCCTCTGCCTGCCCATCCATCTGAGCTGCCAGTTCCTCAGCGCCCAGGAGGACCTGCACCCAAGGCTCACCCAGGCCCTCCCCATGTCCATGACTTCCACGTGGACCGGCCTCTTGAGGAGTCACTGCTGAACCCAGAGCTGATTCGGCCCTTCATCCCAGAGGGGTGAGATGCTTGCCCAGTCCTGCCCACGCGCCCCAGGAGCACCCAGACGGCCGTTCCTCTGCCTCTTCCTGATGTGCCTCCATGGTGTCCTCATGCCTGTACACAGTACACCTCGTCCCACTCCTTAGCCTGCTTGAGGCCTGGGCTCCAGGAGGCAGAACCATGAAGATGTCCAGCCCAGCAGAGAATGGGACCCGCATAGCCTCCAAGAAACTGCTAGCTGTGTCCTTCCCCCGGGGCCTCCACTCGGTGGTGTCACCTGTCTTGGAGGTGGTTCTCCATGCTCCATGTACATTGCTATTACAGCACCACCTGGGGAGGCACAGAGAGTAAGCTGTCTTCATACTGGGAAGGAAGGAAGGCTTGCTTTGGTTTAGTTTCTAGAGCACACTGGGCCAGCATTTGAGATTCAACTAAAAGCCCTGAGTGTTTCTGCCTGCTTCTATTAGGGAATTAACAAGGTTGACCCCTTAATTCATAGGGGTTCCGTCATCCAGAAGGAGCTTCCATCCAGGGCCACTTTGGTCCTGAGGCTTCCTGCGCCATTCATGTGTGCTCATTTGGGAGTTAGCGTCCAGAAGTTGAGGCCCGGGGATGGCTCCCAAAGCATATTTTTCACATGTTGGGCAGTTAATCAGTTTCTCTGTAGGATGAGGATGAGCCAGAGGCTTCTGTGCAGATTGGAAGCAGGTGTTCCTGGAATTCATTGGGTAAATAAACTACAGTGTAACTCAGCTAGTTTGTTGATTTTTATTTCATAGGAATATAGTAAGATGAGTCTAAAACGGGTTCTCAAACTTCCTCACTCTGTGACCCTTTAGTACAGTTCCTCAGGTTGTAGTGACCCCCCAACCATAAAATTATTTTCATCGTCACTTCATAATTGTAATTTTGCTACTGTTACCAATCATAATGTAAATGTCTGATGTGCAGGATATCTGATATGAGACTCCTGTGGAAGGGTAGTTTGACCCCCATGGAGTCATGACCCATAAATTGAGAGACACTGGTCTAAAAGATACTGAGATGTCAAGGACCAAGAGGAGGAAACAGACAAGATGATGAGAGGACTTGTATAATGGATAGTATGACTTACTACAAGGTTATGTAACAACTAGACAGGATATTGTTTCAGGAATGGATTAGGTAGAATCTTAACTATGCGTTTTTTTCAGTTATGTAACAATTTGCTAGTGGTTATTGCATACACCTGTTACCTAGCACTCAGGGGTTTGAGACAGGAAGATTCCCAAGAGTGGAAGGTCACCCTGGGCTACAGCAGGAGATCCTGTCTCAAAAAAAAGTGTATGTGTCTGTATGTGTATGTGTATGCATATATATAATATACACACATAGGAGACACTATATTCTTTTTTAAAACATTTTATTTTTTTAAAGATTTATTTTATTGTGTATACAGTTTCTTGCCTGCAGGCCAGAAGAGGGCACCAGATATCATTACAGATGGTTGTGAGCCCTGAGAATTGCTCTTAACCATTGAGCCATTTCACCAACCCCCAAGACATATTCTTAAAATGTTCGTTTTAGGCCTAACATGTATTGGTGATTGTGTGAATACTGGGGACACAGAGGTGACTTACAGGTGATTTACAGGATACTGCTCTCCGGAAGTTCTGATGTCTTCTTAATCCACTCTTCATTTATTTCTCTGGTCATGTCCGTAGACTCTAAGGTTTGTGGAGCTCCATAAGTTTCTTGTAGCTCTTATGTATGCACAGGTGGCAACTTGTGTCTGGACGCTGTTTGGAAACAGTTAAAGGTACAGGCTAATAAAAGGCAGCCTATTTGGTGATTTACAAACCGGTGCCTTCAGTGATCTCTCCAACCCTTTTCTAACTCCACATTGCGCAGTGATAGCTAGGCAAACAGGGAAACAACACAACAGAAAACCAGCTCTGGGTTTTCAGATGGTGGACTCACCAAATAGTACAAATAATCACACTTGGTGCTTACTAGAGTAATAATCTAGAATACAGTAGGCAGTATTGAAAGTCATGTAATACAACAAAGCACAAATATACAGCATACAGTAGGATGGTCGTGTGTGTGTGTGTGTGTGTGTGTGTGTGTGTGTGTGTGTGTGTGTGTGTGGTCCTGTTCTTCCTGTCCCCTTGTTCTTTTCAAAGGAGCCTGCCTGGCTTTGAATTCTCTTTGTGACTGAGATGACCTTGATGCCTTGTCTCCAATTTTTACTGGGATTGGAAGCCTGTATCACCACACTCCGCTCATCATAGTAATTTAAATGCAAAGAGTACATGTTCTAGCTGGAACAAAGGTGGTTGTTAGTATTAAAAAGGGAGTGAAACAGGTATTTTCAAGAGTGAAATTATAAACATAGATCAAAATTTTACAAGGAAAAGAATTAAAAATGTGGTATAGTTTGATAGAGTAGACAAAGACAATTACTAGGGATAAACATTAAACTAATGAGTTGGCAAAATCATTATGTAAGTATGTATACACTACAGATTTTTTCCCTCTTTTTAATAATGAGTCTTGTGTAGCTGAGGCTAGCACCAAACTCATTATGTAGCCAAGGCTAGCCTCAAACTCAACTGTGTAGCCCAGAATGACCTTGAACTCATCCTACTCAGGTGCTGAGATTGCTGGTATGAGCTACTGATTCTGGTTTCCACAGTGCAGCAAATGGAACTCAGGGCTTTGTGAATGCTGGACATTCTGGCCTTTTCCTGAGGGCTCAACAAGGTCTTGCTGTCTAGTTCATGTTGTCTTGGAACTTATGTTTCTCAGCCTCTGGTGTAGCTGGGTTTACAGATGGATGCCACTGCAGCTAACTTCAGGGTTTAAGATAGTTATGAGTAGTGAGAGAGCTAAAAATGGACAAATCCACTTTCAGGGTAGTTGGCTTAAAGCTGGGCCTGGTATGGCCACCAGCGGGTGGCATACAGTTTTAATCACAACACTTGAGATGTAGAGGCAGGCACATCTCTGTGAGTTCAAGGCCAGCCTGGTCTACATAACAAGTTCTGAGCTAGTCTGATCTACACAGTGAGACCCTGTCCAAACAATGTATGCATGATAGGATTAAAGGCAGGCAAGACATACAAAGATTGTGTGTGTGTGTTTGTGTGTGTACGTGTGTATTCGTGTGTGCAAGTACACGTGTGCCTTAGCATATGCACAAAGGTCAAAGGACAACTTTCTTTTTTCTTTTTGGTTTTTCGAGACAGGGTTTCTCTGTGGCTTTGGAGGCTGTCCTGGAACTCACTTGGTAGTCCAGACTGGTCTCGAACTCACAGAGATCCACCTGCCTCTGCCTCCCGAGTGCTGGGATTAAAGGCGTGCGCCACCAACGCCCGGCCAAAGGACAACTTTCAAGAGTTGGTTTTCTCCTTCTATCATGTGTGTCCCAGGGATTGAGTTCAGGTCATCAGGCTGGGTGACAAGTGTCTTTGCCAGTAGAGGCATGTTGTTGGCCCTGTGTATAGGGTTTATGCAGATATTTCATTCACATAGGGACCTGTGAATCCATAGACTGACATCTGCAGGGTTCTGGCAGCAGTTCCCTGTGAACACTAATGGATGACTGCATTTTATTACCATGCTAAAGTACTAGGTGGATTTAATGAAGCGAGACTTAATTACATTTCTTTGTAGTGCTGCTATTATATTGAGTCACAGGCTATTTTTTTTTTTTTGTCTCCAGAGGGGAGTTGATTCACATCCAGGTTATGGGTAGCAGACTTTGAGAAATTTCTGGAAATTGCTTGCGAAATCCTTACCCAGGACCTGGAAGCTTTCTGTAACTAGAAACAAAGTGTTCACATCTCCAGTTCACCAGGAGGCTACACCCAGGTGAAAGATTAACCTGTGACCTGGTTCCTGGCCTCTCTCCATTACTAACCTAGACACTGAGGATGAGGTTCCAGCTATCTGCCATCCTCCACCCCAGCCTGGCCATGACCTACTCCCCACCATTTTTTATTTTTCTAGACAGGATTTCTCTGTCTAGCTTTGTAGACTAGGCTGACCTAGAACTCCCAGAGATCTGCCTGCCTCTGCCTCCTGAGTGCTGGGATTAAAGGTGTGTGCCACCAACACCCGGCCGTGACGCCCCTTTCATTTGGGAAATCTTTCCTTCTGGAGGCCTGGAGCCCCACCTCCATCCATTCAGCAGGCTTCTGAGAGAATCCCAGCCCATCCTTACCAGCTGGTGGTCATAGGGTTATGCTTAGATTGAGGAAGCTTTCACAGGAGTCTTTCTCTGAATGGAACTTGAGAGAGACAATATCTTTCTGTCAGGTTTCAAGGGTATCGAGGGACTGGAAGAGTGGCTGTCCTCCTGTGACAGGAGCAGGCCTAATATATTAGGCTTTAGGAGTAAGTGAAATTCATACTGAGGAAAAAAAAGGAAGGAGAAAGAAAGTTCTCGTGACTTTGTGTGTTAATGAGTGGCAGGAACTTTTTACAGTGGGAATGGGTCTCAGTATTAAGAAGGATCTAAGCGGCGAGGAACAAGGGAGGAGAGGGAGAAGGAGAGAGGAGAGAGGGGGGAGAGGAAGGAAGGGGCACATTAACTAGCTGACTTCTGGGTGTTTCCTCTGATTGTTTAGAAATAGTGTCTGCCTGATCTTTATCTTCACACCTTCCTCTTCATTCTCTAGAGAAGAGAGGCTTCAAACAGGTGACAGATTTGCCTATGACTCCCGGTCTCTACCACTGTTGTGTGACTCTGTTCCTGGGGAATACAAAAACAAACATCTACTTACCCCAGATAGGGACCAACAATAGACCAAGATACAAATATCACCAAGTCCAACTTGATAAAACAGCTTTACTGGGTGTGGTGGTTTGAAAGGAAATGGCTGGGCTTGGGAGGCAGAGGGAGGCATATCTCTATGAGTTCCAGGCCAGCCTGGTCTACAGAGCTAGTTCCAGGACAGCCAGAGCTATTACACAGAGAAACCCTGTCTCGAAAAACAAAACAAAACAAAGAAAATGACTCCCAAAGGGAGTGGTACATGCATTTAATCCAGCATTTGGAAGGCAGAGGCTGGCAGATCCCTGAGTTTGAGCAAGTTTTAGGACAGCCAAGCTTAGGCCATGAAAGACAGAAAGCTAGTTAAAATGTAATTGAAAGAGGGGACCATGCTCCAGCCCTGACAAGCAGCAGAACTTGGCAATTATGGCCAGGTGGTTCTGGGTTTAGAGTTAAGGACAGAAGAAAGGAGCTATGGAATACAGCCGCTGAGGCCATTAGTTTGTCAGGGGTCCAGAGAGGTCATTGACTGAACCTGTGAAGTTGAAACCCAAGTTGCCCCGGGGACCCCAGGATGTTGAAGATGCCAGAGCTCTGGGGTACCCTCTGAGGAGAGCAGGGAGTGGAATCAGCCCAAGAGAAAGTGTGTTACAGTTAATAAAGCTGAAAGGAGTTGTGGAGATCAGAAGAGTGTATTGATATCAGACATGGAGATGCAGAGTTTGGAGTTTGCCCAGCTAATTTTCAGTCTCGCTGTGGACCAGCATTTTCTCACTATGCTCCTTTCCCTGTGTTTTGGAATGGTAACGTATAACCTGTGCCACGATGCGTTGGAAGTGTGTGATCTACCTTTTGGTTTTGATTTTTACAGGGGATTACAGTTAAGAGATTGCCATGCATTTCAAAAGAGACTTTGAAAACAAGTTTGAGGCTGTTATAGTCTATGGGGACCTGAAGTTGGACTGAACGCATTTTTGAATTATGATATGACTA